GGTGGGGGTGGGGGTGGGGGTTGTCAGGGTGCCAGATGTTGTTGGGAGGGACCATGCGCTGGAACCCAACCACCTGCTCACGCTCAGTCCCCACCCGCCACCTCTTACTCAACCTGTTTCCCTCCCCCCCCCTCCCTCCCCGCCGGGTCCACCGCTCAGGGTCTCCTCGACCAGCAGTCCGCCGCCTCCACGGTGGCCCAGAACCGGGCAGCTAGGCTGGAGATGGACTACATCAAGACTGAGGCGGAGATGAGAGACCTGGCGGACAAGTAAGGGGCGAGCGGGCCGAGGGAACGGGGGGGAGGGAATGGGGGAAAGGGTGTGTGGGTTTAGAGAAGTAAAACGATGCGGGAGGGGGTGGAAAGGATGGGGAGGAGGAGGGGAGGAGGGGGTCCACTGGAGACGAAGGACGAATCGGGGTTGACGGCGAGGGGTGTAAGAAGGATTTGGGGATTGGGGGTAAAGGGGGAGAAGTGGCCGTCCGATGTAGTCTGACCTTGCTTTCTCCTCAAAAACCCCTTTCAAGGTCCTCTCCTCCCGACTAAACCCGAAAACCCTTCTTCTCCTTCCCGCATACCAAAGGCCCATTCACTTTATCGAATCCCAATATCGCATCCTTTATATTATGATTATTGAATTTTATCACCCATGTCCAAAAACATGCAAATTACCTTTTGTGGACTTCTAATTTCATCCCAGTTTAACACCTCTTTGAAATTCAAATTCAACTGCGCAGGCTGAAGAAGACCATCGAGTACAAGGTTGAGTTGGAGCGGCAGGTGGCCCAGTACAAGAACATGGTGGGCTTCCTGCAGGCGGAGGTGTCCTCGCTGAGCAGGGAGAGGGACGCCCTCAAGGCCAATCTGCAGGTGAGCATTCGGTGCGACTGCAGGGTGATCTAATGATACGGGAGTCGCGTCGTTTTTACCTTATCTCATTGAACTGCGGATTATGTAATGGTGATGCTGGTGGTGCTGGTGGTGGTATGTAATGCAGTGATTGATTGTGTACGTACGTACGTATGCATGTGTGTATTGGGGGTTATGCCTACATTACCCTCCGCGGGTGTCACGACAGGCCCCCACAATACCGTTGTTACCAACTGAACTAAACTAATCCTACCGGCGAGAAGGCAGGGGAAGATGTTTATGTGTTTATGTGTGTTGACACATGTGCGTATGTGTGTATATATGTACGTCCATCGATACGTTTTAGCATCCGCTGCGGCTGTGGCTTGAACATGCAATTAAGGTGGTTGGGTCCTGGCAAGTGAGCCCAGTCATGCGTTCTCCTTCACTGTGCTTTTGTTGTTGCTTCGTGTCCCCTCATGCATGGGGCCCGCGCAGGAGGTGGACGGCAAGATTGAGCGGCTCACCTCGGATGTGGCGGAGGCGCAATCCGCTGTCGGCGTCACCAGCAAGAGATTGGAGGCCAAGTGGGTTTGCGAGTTTGCCTTGGGAGGGCTGGGAGGGGGAAGGCGGGAGGGGGAAGGCGGGAGGGGGAATGCGAGGGGAATGCGAGGGGAAGGCGGGAGGGGGAAGGCGAGAGGGGGAAGGCGAGGGGAAGACACATATCTGTGTGTGCTCTCCTTTCTTGACCTGTCCTCGTCCACGTGGTACTGATACCACAAGGAGTACGGCACCCGAACGAGGCGAGTAGGAGGAAGGGGGTGCCAGGCTTGGCCCCGGCCGATGCCCCGCAACCTGGTTTGTGTACGTGTAGTATACAGTAGGTCGGTAGGTGGTGATTACTTGGACGTGTGGGTGTGTACTTTTGAGTATATGGATGTGCGAAGTAGGGTGGGAGGATACACAGCATCACTCGTGGCCGCTAGCCTGATGCTGGCAATCCCTACCTTTCCCTATATTATATCGGGGCACTCTCATTCTTCTCGTCACCCATGCGTAGTGCCGACCTGTGCGGGCAAAGTCAGAGTGATTTTCTCAGGTGCAGCACCCGCCACCGCCACCACCACCAGCATGCACCCAGTGGAATCTGTGCCCGGATCAACGGCGGCGCCAATATCAATCTCCTGGTCGGCTCGGCGGTCTCTTACTATAACCGGGTCGTAACCGTATATCGGCATGGGGGTGCATTACACCTCTTACGGTTGAGGGATCGATCCTGGAACCTTCCAGGGGCCCTATGCCGCGACTTAGCATGTTTGTTATTGCCTGGAGCTGTATATATGTATCCATACATGTATGTCTGAACGTATGCATCCGCCACTCTCTAGGTATGAGGCTGAGAAGCGGGAGGCACTCGCCCAGGCTATGGATCGACAGAAGCAGCTGGAGACGAAAGTGGCGGTGTGTGAGGCCAGGATTAAGGTGGGCCGGGGAGGGTAGGGCTGGGATGGACCTGGGGGAAAAGAGTGGGGGGGGGGCCCCGGGGGAGGGGGGGAGCTGGGCAATCGGTGAAGAAGGGGGACTTCACACGTTGCTCACGTGGTTCACTTTGGGGGGGGAAAACCGGGCTCCTCACATTTGTTTGTGTGTGGATTAAACTGAATTGAATTTAAATGGCTAAATATATACACATATATATATCCACATATGTTATATATATGTCATTATTATTGTTGTTGTCGTTGTTACGGTATTATCACTCTTGTCGTTGTTCCTGCTGATGCTCTTTCTCCACCTCCTCCGCTTTTTCCAAAACTCTAGGAGTTGGACACGGTGTGCAACTTTGCTACTGAGGCCTTACGTCGCTTCCTAGCCGCCCACCTGCAACAACTGGAGCTATCCCTGCCGCCCAGCTTCCTTTGGCACATCAACCGACCGCCGCCGTTACAATTCGCACTGCTGGCCTGCAGCGGAAAGGCGGCGGCGGCGGCGGCCGACGGCGGTGGGCATGGCCGCGGCGGCAGCGCCGGTAGCATCGGCAGCAGCCTTTCCGCTGTCGGCGGCGGCCCGCCGCCGCCGCCGTCAATGTCGGTGGCGCTCGGAAAAGTGCGCTACATCACAAACTTTGATTTTGAATGCGATACAGTTCTGGGCTTCATGGCGAGCTGTTGGTCGTTCGACGTAACGCTCGTGACCATCAGCCAGATCTACGTGGACAAACTGCAGGCGGATCTAAGAGCGGTACGTTGTCGTACACCTGTACGGCTTTGTGCTGAAAAGGGTATCATGCCTTGTGTTCGGGCGTGTGCTTGAATGTTTGTATTCGCCTCCCGTGGCCCCTTTTCCCCCCCTCTGCCAATCCCTCCTCCCCTCCGCAATCTCCCAGACGTTTGTCCATCCCCTCCCCTTTTATACACACCCCATACACCTGGCAGGAGGATGGTTTGCTTGGCGGTGTTGCAGGACCTCGGCACAGCCTCGAGTCCGTGATGTACGAGTTTTTCACCGTACGGTACGGCTGCCGTCAGGCTTCGGAGTTGCACCTGGGTGCCTTCCTGGCAGCCGTACGGAAGTACCGCATCCAACACGCCAAGGTGCGGCGTAGGGGCCAGTTGCAGGGCGGCGTGGGGTTGGGGCCCCTGACAGGTATCCTGTGTGAGGCAAAATCGAAAGACACCCCTTCCTTTGATCGACATGGCGCGGGCCAGATGAAGGATGCGTACGACGGCATGAAGTGCACGAGCGCACGGCTCTCGTTGCTTTCTCTTGCGGCGGCATGCAGATGCAGCAGAAAAATGAAAAAATGAGTTAACGGTGGAGGACCAGAGCTGCTTGCGTTTGTGTGGGGATGGATATACGGCATGGAAGCTGCGCTGCTAATGCTAATGCTAATGCTCTATCTGCTTCATATACCTCTACCCCCCTTCCCTCCCTCCCCCCCTCTCCTCCCCTCCCCTCCGTTCCCTCCCCGACATGATGTGCAGGTCCGTACCTTCGCCCGGCTGATTGGCCTTCCCGAGCCTCCCCCGTCCACCCCCACCTCTATCGTGATGGAGGCTGAGGACCCACTGAACCATGGGCCACTGCCTCCCCCCGCTGTGGAGTTCTACCTGTCACTGCTCAACCGGTAACTTGACGATAGTAGCTTCGCAACCGCCCTGGCTTTGGCTATAGTAGCCACTGCGGATAAGTGGCCTAGAGGAAGGGGGCTTTAGGGTCGCTGATTTGGGGGTTTGCGGGGAGGGCTGCAGGGCCGCTGCGGGTCCCAGGCCCCGCTAGGGCCCCAGGGATCCGTTTGTTACCCTACCAGCCATCCTTCTCTCAACCGTGCCCCCTCTCCCCGCCGCCAGCCCCACCCCCCAACACGAGGTGGGGGGTCCCGCTCTGCCCCCGCGCCTCTTTCCTAACCCCATCCGTACTTCCGTACTTCTATCCGGCCACATGCGGTCTTGGGACGTGGCGGTAGTTGTTGTAACTCTTTGCTTCAGCAGCATCAGCAACGTATGATTCCGCCTTACCTCATACACCTCCTGGACCACCCAGCACCCTACCTAGACCTGCCGCCGACCTACCCGTCCCTTTTCAATGTGTGTATCTCAACGTGTGTATTCAACGTGTGCCGCCTCCCTCATGCCCCCTCTCCCGCCTCCCCTTTTTCCCTCCGGAGTATCCGTCTTTGGTATCTTCTTTCGTCAATCGTCTGTGCCTCGCCGTGCCCCCAACACCGGACGCAGGGTTCACGCCCGCGCGGGCCCACTGATCGCTGAGGCGGCGGAGGGCTTTTCCCTGGTCAAGTCGAAGGTGCTGTCACGCATGGCCCGGGAGTTCCTGAGGGGGTCGTACAGCACCACACGGGATGACGTGGCGGCGACCTCGGACTACATACGGCATATGGTACGGCACGGGCGGTTTGGTAAAGGGGGGTTCGGCCGGGGGAATGAGGGGTTCGGCGGCTGGGTGTGTGCTAGGGGGGCGCGCCATTAAAATGACCCAGACCAGCCGTTAAGCTGTCTCTCCGCAACACATATATATCGGCATACGAAGATAGAATCAAAAAATCAAACCTTTAAACTGTTCAACGTAACAAACCACCACACATCAAGCAATCAGATAATCGTTAGTGATTTTTAATCATTACCACTAACCGTCAACCTCCAACCGTCATACATCTAACCATTACTGAGAGTCTTATACAGCACCCACACCCACACCCACACCCACACCCACACCCACACCCACACCCACACCCACACCCACACCCACACCCACACCCACACCCACACCCACACCCACACCCACACCCACACCCACACCCACACCCACCCACACCCACACCCACACCCACACAAACACAAACACAAACACAAACACAAACACAAACACACACACGCGCGCAGGCTCTCAACGACGACGAGAAGGCCATTGATTTGGAGCTGGCGCTGGAGGTCATGTTGCGATCATTCGTACTGCAGTACAACGACGACCTGGAGTTGTTGTGCGCCACCTTCCGCTCGTCCTTCGAAGTGGGAGCAGCCGCCTCCTCTGCTGCCGCCGGCAGCGGCAACAACCAGACCTCCTCCATGTCGACGGCAACGTCTCCGCCCGCAGTCCGTCGTCTGGTGACGCCAGACGACCTGACGATGTTCCTTAGACAGGTCAACGCGGAGAAGGCGGCGGCGCTGCCGCCGCAGCGCGTGGTTGCGCTGTATGTGGAGGCGTGTCGTGCAGCCGGGCCGTACAGTGAAAACCTCGGACGGGAAATTTGCCGGGCGGTGCTGAACAGCGGTGAGGCGGGCGGGCGGGCGGGCGGGCGGGAAGAGGGGACCCGTGATCAGGAGCAGGGTAGGGGGCCGGGATGGCAAGAAGGGGTGAAAGGGAAATCCAGGTGGTGGGGAAAGGGAAGAGGGAAGAGGGAAATAGAAGTGTGTGTGTGTGGGAGGGAATGGAGGTGAATGAGGAGGAGGAGTGTGCGAAGGCCGGGCTACAGGGCGGGTTCGTTTACCTTAATCAGACCTGCGCCTCCTCACGCGCAAATCCACCCAACCAACCGCTTCTTCCTCCTCCCCCTCCTCCCCCTCCACCTCCTCCTCCC